GCGGCGCAGTCTATATTTGGGCGGCAGACCAGCCGGACAGGCACAAGTCACTCCCCCCTCCCCTCGTGGAGAGTTGAGACCCCCTCCGCCCCTCCCCTTGACGTTGGCGAAGTTCACCGTGACGTCACCTAAACCTCTCCCGCCCACAGGTCGCCATCACGGGGATGTTCTTCCAGACGGCCATCACGGGCTCGCTCTACCCCCTCGTCGACAAGTTCTGAGGTGTCGGAGTAGTCTTGCTCTCCCAGGGCAGTAGCCCTGTAGCGTTGAGTCTGCTGCGCGCCAAAGCGCCTGTCCTCGCGCAGATCTGAGACCGCCCTGGACAAACTTTTTACTCCCTGTGTTTTACAATGGCTGGCCAAATGTGTGAAGCTGAGGCGGGCCTTGGTCTACATTTTTGCTCGATACACTATCCCGTCACCCCCCGTGCCCCACCACTTTGTCGCACCTTCCCAAAACGGCCAGGGGAGGGTTTTTGAGCAGTAAAACCCTGATGTCCCTGATCTGACGTTTGGGCTCCTGCAGCCAATGCAACCGGAGGCTGCCGAGCACCAACCTCAGGCGGCAACGGAGGCAGCACCGCTGGCTGCCGAGGCGGCGACGGGACAGCAGGACGCGTCGTCAAGCGGCCCGTGCCCAACGGACGCTCCACCCAGTGGGGTAGCGGGGTCCGAGGCGGCCGACAAGGTGCCACCGCCCGACCCAAATGACCCGGCGGTACAGATGCGGATCAACAACCTCTCCAAATGGGCGACCGTCAAGGACGTGAAGCATCTGCTGGAGCGGCGGCTTGGCCTGACTGGCGTGCGCAAGGTGCGCAAGATTTCCAACCAGGACTACGCGTTCGTCTACTTCCAGTCCGCACAGGAGCGCCTGGCTGCGGACTCGGGCATCAACGGGCACAAGTGGAAGGGCAGCGTGCTGTCGACGGCGCAGGCGAAGCCGCTCGACCCGGACAGGCACCTCAAGCGCGAGAGGGAGGGCGGCGAGGGGCAAGGCGGCAAGAGGGTGTGCGCGCAGCAGGCGGGCGGGAGGGGTCGAGGAGGCAGCGGCGAGGCCGGCGAGGCCGGCGGCGCAGCGGCCGCGCGGACAGCGGCGGACGCGGCGGCGCCGCTGCACCGGCTCGAGTACGCAGCGCAGCTCGAGCAGAAGCAGCACTTCGTCGAGAAGGCGCTGCGGCGGCTGCCCCGGGAGATGCAGGCCGCGGCTCACAGGGTTGTCTCGGGTCCCCTCGGGCCCCCTCGGGTCCTGTCGGGGCCTCTCCTTTCCTGTCGGGCCCTCTCGGGTCCTCTCGGGCCCTCTCCTTTCGGGCCCTCTCGCCCCCCCTCGGGTGAGATCTCCCCCGGTCATCTCGGGTGATCTCCCCCGGCCCCCTCGGGTGACTCCTTAGGTCGCGGCTCGCTCCGACACGCAGCGCGAGCGGTGGCGGATGCCATGGCTGTCTCAGGAGCGGCTCAACCAGCGGCACGGCCTGCCCTGCCCGGTTGCGCCGGTCCCGCCCAGAGCGGCAACGCACGCGCGAACGGTGAGCAGCGTCTCTTCACGGCTGCAGCTGTGAGCAGGTCCTGCCCGCGGCGGCAACGCACGGCTACCGAAACAAGTGCGAGTTCACCCTCGGTCGCGACGAGGACGGCAGCGTGGCGGTTGGCTTCACCCTCGGCACAGTGCGCGAGCGCAAGCACGTCGTGGGCCGCGCAGACGGCGCGCGCCGACCGGCTGCACTTCGGCTGCACCTCGGCCGCACCTCGGCCGCACTTCGGCTGCACCTCGGCCGCACCTCGGCCGCACCTCGGCTGCACCTCGGCCGCACCTCGGCCGCCCCCTCGGGGGTACCCGCCGATGCAACACGGATGCCCCTAGGGTTGCCCTTTGTCGGAGCCTCTGCACGTCCCTCATTCGGAACTGCTTTCGCATCCGGCCCTGGCTACCCCAGCCCCCCACAACTAGGGAATCCCTCGGGTTTCCCCCCTATA